TAACCATAACCCTAACCATAACCATAACCCTAACCCTAACCCTAACCCTAGCTCTAGCCCTAAGTTCACGAATGGCAAAGGCAAAGGCCAGCAAAGGGCTGATCAGCACGTGGGAGAAGACAGGCGCGTTGTGTGTAGCCATCTCGCAGCCCTTTGCTGGCCTAGAGAAAAGGANAGCTCTGGGAGCGTTGGAATGTGGATCAAGTGCCTTTGCCATTCGTGAACGGGCTGATCAGCACGTGGGAGAAGACAGGCGCGTTGCGTGTAGCCATCTCGCAGCCCTTTGCTGGCCTAGAGAAAAGGAAGTGCACCATGCAAGTCATCTTTAGTCCGGGTGAGGAGACAATGCGGATTTCGGTGATTTTCTGAGGCCAGCGGCAGCGGATTTCGCCGGTGGAGAAAGCCGCGTACCACAAGGACGTGGACGTGTTTTTCCAGGAGAATGCGTGGGCGGACCAAAAGTTCTGCATGGAGTGGGCCAAGAGGTCGTACCGCGAAGGCCTGATCCGCGGGCGGGGTGAGCTCCCCAAGGCGAGGTCCATTCTGATAATGGACAACTTGCACGCGCAGACCACGGACGAGTTCAAGGGGTATCTTGCGAAGCAGTGCAACACTATCGCCTGGCTTGGCCCTGCGGAGTGCACGGACGAGGTGCAGCCAGTTGATGCAGGAGCCGGACGATTTCTCAAGGTGGAAGTTGGTAACGAGATGGACAAGTGGCTCGATCAGTCGGACAACATCGAGAGGTAGGAAACCGCGTCGCTGACAGCTTCTGACCGGCGCGTACTGATCACTACATGTACGGGAGCGGCCATGGCAAAACTCAACGGCAATCAGGGGTACCGACACCGCCTTTTCGAAAAGTGCGGGATGGCGATGACCGTGGACGGCTCAGGCGATGATCGAATCACCTTGGAGGGTTTGGACCAGCCGAACACCTTCCCAAACGATGACGACTCCAGCGAGAACGAAGGAGGTTCGGAGGACGGCAGCGATGGGCCCGAGGGGCGGGAGGAGGAGGGCGCCGGAAGGCGCGAGCCGGTCGTCGGGGATGAGCGCAACGGTGCCAACAGCGGGGAGGCCATGGAGGGCGCTGGATACAGCGATGAAGACGACGACAGTAAGTTTGATTGGCACTACATAGACTACAGTTAATTCATTGCCCTTTTTGTTCATCTTTTCTTGTGCTGTTTGGGATACTGCTGATATTATGTTTCCGCGTCACGTCTACAAACAAATGGTGTGTTGAGTAACGGCGATGATACCCGTACGTTCCTTCTCGTGTTTCACGGTACCCTTCGTCGCAGACATGTCTCAATCCCAGACCGACGAGCTAGCTCTTTTGGACGAGGACGACAGCATGGACCCAGACGACCCGGAGGACGAGACGCAGGGAATGGAGATCCCGGCGGGCTTTCGCCTTCAAGAATCTACCCCCGCTGCTCTTGACAGATTGCTTTTGCAACGTGGAGTGTTTGTTCGGCTGGGCATGGGGTGGTTCGGTGGGTTGATCATTCAGCAATCTCC